GCAGATGACCTTCAAGTAATATACTAATAAAAGTACTTGTATTTCTTATTGATGTTAGGCCTTGGAAGTTACTATTATTTTTATTATTTTTGTTGTTATTATTAGTGTTATTTTTGTTATTATTATTTGTTATTATTATTAGTGTTATTTTTGTTATTATTATTTGTTATTATTATTAGTGTTATTTTTGTTATTATTATTTGTTATTATTATTATTATTATTATTGTAAAAACAGTAATTTTTATTGTTTAAAATGTAAAATAAAAGCTGTCTAAAATAAAAAAAATAATACTGAAACCACACCCATTTTAAGTTTGTGCCGTATAGTTCCTATTTTTTATTGTACAAAAGCAGAGAAAATTTTGAAAAATATTGAATTTTGTACAGTTTGTATCTTTGACCAAATTTGACATTCTTGGTATTAAATTGATTGCCGAATCCTGCAGAAAGTAAATATGTTATTATCTTTTGATACTAATTAAATTAAAATTTTTGCAGGCATCGCTAAAGTCTTTGGTATCGTATCGCCCACCTCTAGTCCAACGCTCGAGCTGAGCTGGTCTAGTCTCAAGTTCCCATACACTCTGGTACAGATACTGGATCTGGATATATCTTTCCTTGGGATCAAGTCTACACGTTCATAATGTCAAGTTCAGCTCGTGATTGTGTTTCGTGTAAAAAGCTCCTTATTCCTCCCACTGCCAATTTTTGTGCTTATTGTGGAGCCCCTCAGGCTCAGCCTGGGCATTCATTAGAAGAGGAGGATTCTCCTACTAAAGAATTGTGCTGTTTGATGCCGCAAGATTTTGATGAATTAGAGAATGATAAGAAACAAAAAACCCAGTTATTTCCAAATTTGTAAGTATCCACCAGATCCCCGTTATTTAGATTAATGATATTCATAGGGATATCGTAAAAACAACAGAATTTATTGGCTGCCATCTTGGGGGTATAAACTATACAGTAACCAATGGGCCACAAGGCTAAAATCTGCCTTATCTGCTTTTCCACGTTACTTAGAGGCTCTTAATTGTTGCAGTGGTATAGAAATGGATATTAAGGTTGGAATCTTTTCTCTCTGGAAGCAGCTCCTTTGCTCTGCTGGAAGAATGGTAAAATAACACCTTTTCTCCATTGAAGACTGTACTAAGTATACCCCCAACATGGCGGCCAGAATAATTTTTTCATTTACGGTATCCAAATGAATATCAATAAAAAGTTTATGAATATCATGCATTTCATTCACACAGATCTGGTGGACTGACTTGCTAAAAATAAATCATGCTAATTATTTATGTAGATCGAAAGTTTTATTGCCTGTATTGGATGTTCCAAGAGAAAAATCAGTGAAAGTACAGTTCAATGCAGTCATTCCTTTAACCCTTTGGGAATGGGAAGAAGGAAAATCATCTGTGTACATGAGATTTGGTCATAGAGATATAGGAAGTTGGAATCGTGACATTGGTCCATGTACTTTGTATAGGTTAGTCATTACAATGTTTTAGGATGCTAATTTTCTCTAATACTATAATAGAGGGGTAGGCAATGGTTTGTTTGTTGTGGAGTATAAGATATCACTTGATTATGAATTTTTGAAAGATAATCAAAATGGTCTGTCATACAAATATGTGGTGTATTCTCAAAGATCAAATTCTATTGGTCATCAGTTTGAGTTTTTACATGGAGCTCCTCCTTTTGAGTCTATTGATAATAACAGACTACTGAGGATACCTCAAGACAAATTGAAACCAGGAGGTATTATTAAATAGTATATGTATACTTAATAATAGTTTCATATCTAGGATATCATAGACAGTTTGATGCAGTAATTTTGCCTGATGTAAAGTCAAATGAAACAAAGAGCATTGACAATAAAAGATGGAAGTATTTTGATTCCAGCAATTTATCTGCTTTTGTGATTCCTTCTCCTGCTGTAATGCGTTCTTTGTGTATGGAAATAATTTACATGCTATTAAGGGCATCATTATAAATGGAATCTATAGTCAAGATTTCAATATTCAAAATGTTTTAATAGCATTTCAAGGATTGTTTAACTGTGTCTGTGTTCAATGGATCGAGCACAAAGGAAAAGAAGTACAGTGGGTTTTTGAAGGACTTGACATTGTAAGTTCACAATTTTATTAGAAATAATATTGATAGGTTTTTAATAGTATATCAAGGAGTGGTTTGAATCTTTAGTGCATGCCTTATTAACTACAAAAACACTTAAGTCTCATCTTCGTGTTGTTTCCGGTGTACTTACTGCTGTTATTCTTAAAAATATAACGAAGTGTCAGTTTATTGATATCACTGAAGAGATAAAAATTGGTTTATTACAAGTAATGAGTTTGTCAGTAGTTAACGGGAGAGAAGAGTTTAAATTTTTGCAGGAAATTTTAAGAACAGCTGAAATAAAGTCAGTTAAATTTGATTTTTTAAACAATTTTTACTAGTTTTTTTGTAGAAAAATTGTTTTAGATGCTCTATTGTATTATTTAAGTGTTGATCTAAAAGAGGATGCTCATGTTATTACTGTGATCAATGCTTTACCACTTTATCATTTCTTGTCTGGTTTATCTGTTCCAAACCAAATTTCATTAAAAGAAGCTCCTTGCATTTTGAACCTGGTTGCTTTGAATACATTAATTGAAAAAAATCCAAAGTAAGTATTTTAATTATTAAATTTTCATTATTTATTTATTTATTTGTAAGCATTTTTGAAATGTGCTGTAGTACTATTTTTCAACTGTTTCAACTTGATTCGCAAATGCTGGTACTAATTCCCTACTTTAATTGTCAGAAGAGCCTAAATGTTATTTGTGAAGTGTTACCTATTGAATTATCAATTGTCTGGCTCATAAACCTCCAGTCACACATACCAAACATTTACCTATCCTCTGTTAATGGCAGAAAAGTAAATCAATTATGATTATGGACTTGACATTTTATATTTACAATAAGATGGAACATGACTTTTTAAAGCCTATGACTTGCATTCAGCAAAGGATTATTACTATAGAAATTAAAAAGTTAGTTTTCATTTTTAAAGTAGTGTATGATACTTTTTTAGGTTTTCTATACTTAGCTGCTATTCAGAAGCAGCTATTTATCTTGTGAAATCTTTCAAAAAAAATTTAGATAGTTCCAAAAATTCTGAACTATTAGTAGTGTCAGTGGTTTCTCTTTTGCTTCATATACTTTACAGGGCTAAAAAATTCAATGAAGAAACTAACGAATTCAATGAAGAAACTAACGATCAATTGAGTCTTTGTCAAAAGTTGAGGCATACCATTCAAGGACTATTAATGGATTGGGTAATGTGTCCTGATGTTGTTGGAGGTACTTTCTTTGGTGGAGAAGTAAGCAGAAATTATCAGGAAATAAGGAAAAAGGAGGAGGAACTAAAGGTGCAAAATTTTGTGTAACTTTTAACAATTGATAGTCTCTATTAATTTAGTTTTGGGAAAGTATTTAACTTTGGAATTTCCAGCAAAAGACATAAAGAATGAGTTGGATGCATTAATTTTAGCTCTTGTTAATGATAGGATCTCTAACATACCAACCACACATCTAATAGTTGATGCGTTTGTCTATGTTGAGACTCAGAAAGGAATTCATAACTCTTTAAGAAACATCTTCTTTACAAAAGCATGTGATACTTTAGGTGTTAAAATCTCTGTAAGCAATTTAACAATGTGTATTGTCCCTATTGTGCATATACTCATGTAGACTGAAACAAAAAGATTAAGTTCTAATTTAGTGGTAGAACTGATCTGTGAACTTGCTAAACAATCACCTACTACATTATGCTCTGTTGGAATTCCTGGTAAGCCATTATAATGCAGCCAGAATTTTTGCATTGAATCGATTTTTGTGAGTTTGCAGTGACTGCAACTTCTAAATATGTTAAATTTAATTTTGTGCATTTACAAGTAATGAATAATTGTGAAGTTTTAACCCATGCAAATTGGAAATTTAAAATTTTGGTGACTAAATTAACAACATGTATGTATCTCAATTAAAAAATTGGCACTGTACCAGGCAATTCACACTGTTATATTGCAATAGCAACCGTCAAAAGTTTGGATATTTTTCAAGCTACTGATGATGAAATATATGTGTCTTCTAATGGAGAAATCAAAAAGAGAAAAGAGGAATATAGAAACAGTCCAGGTGATTTTACACTTGAAAAAAAAAAGGAACGAAGTAGTGTTGTTGCTGTTGAAAAAGAAGAAAAAAATTTTAACCAGCCAAATTTAAAAGAAAGAGATGGAGATTTTAATGTTATAGTTCCTAATTTGTGAGTATATCTCTTTTGCCTCATTTAATCTATAAATTCTTAACAGACCCACAATTCAAAAGCATGGTGTACTGTATCCTCTAAAAAATAAGACAATGAGAGTGCAATTTAATGCTGTCATTCAAAAAGACATTTGGAAATGGGAAGAAGGAAGGTCAGAGGTTTACATAAGATTTGGACACAAAATGCTAGGAGACTGGGAACTTGACATTGGTCCATGTATTTTACACAGGTTTGCCATTATAGTGATTTTACTATTACTTTTATTGATAATTACACTTTTGAAACCTTTAGAGATGCTGGTAATGGGTTTTATGTCATTAGATATGATATGTCCATTGACAGTGACTTTATAAAATCTTTAAGGATCGGTCTGCCATACAAATATACAGTCTATTCTCCATTGGTAAAAGTGACCAAACATCAGTTTGAGTACCTTCATGGAGCTCCTCCTTATCAAGGTGCCAATGCAAACAGATTACTTAAAGTACCTAAAGAAAAACTATGTCCAGGGGGTGAGTGATTTTTTCTATAAAAAAATATATTTGTATAATGTTATTAATCATTTTAATTTCAGGTTATTATAGACAGTTTGATACTATGATTTTACCTGACACTAAAGTTAAAACAGCCAAAGCAACTTTCAAAAGAGTGTGGGATTTCATTTCTAGAGCCGAACCTGATGATCCCACTGCCATCACTCTTCCTATTCCTACACTGATGCGCTCGCAATGTATGGAAATTCACTTGCAACCTATTAAGGATATTCTCTTGCGTGGGGATTTTAGGAACAAGCTTGAAGTTTCAACAAATGGATGTGTGAATCTTATTCGATGTGCATATTTGCAATGGGTGGAACATCGAGGAGGCGACTATCGTTGGGAAATTCAAGATATTGGTCCTGTGAGTCAATGCTTCATGAAATGCTGTCATTTATATTTATTATTGTAGTTTTTAATGGATTTGGTTGAATTTTTTCTTGTTGACCTCAATAAGCAGCGAGACTCTGCTTATCATACTGTTACTTCAGCTGTATTTCTGAACTATTGTCTACACAAATTAAGAAAGTTTTATTCAGTGCCCATCTCAGTTGATCTTTGCATAAAGTTACTACAAACAATGAATTTATCATATATTAATGGAGAAAAAGAACTTAGCTTTTTAATGAGTTTGATAGGAGGCTTACCTGAAACAAGGTATAATGTGTATTCAAATTGTTTATTGCATATGTAATGTGCATGTACTTTTATAGGACTGGTATTGTTAATGCTCTTGTTTATTGCCTAAGGACTATTATTGCATCAGAAAATCCTGACAATGCCATTGTTGTTCTCAAAGCTTTACCTTTATATCACTTTTTGTGTGACCTCTCAGTGCCTTATCAGAAGTCATGTGTTCCACTAAACAAGATAACCTGGGGTGATACTTCGTTACTGATTGACAAGTTACTATCAACATTACAGTTTAAATCGGGGTAAGAATAATGTAGAATTGTAAAGCTGTCAATTTATATATGTGATAGGTTTGTTCAAAAACACAAAGAAGACATTCAACAGTTACTTCAGTTTGATTCAAAACTTCTTTACATAATCCCCTACATTTGTCCCTGGGAGGATACAGTTATTCTTTGTGACATGTTGCCACTTGAGCTAGCCATTGTGTGGCTTATTGAAAGACTCAACTTACATTCAGATACTCACTATTTGAGATTATCATCAGTGACTGATTACAAGGTACGTGTATGCTATAATGACTAAATATCATATGGAGATCACCTACATGTACAGTTGTATAAGTATATACCTTTGCTACAATCCACTAATTAAAAATTCATTCTATAGATGAATTATTGCTTCAAGCTACCATTAGCTAACATTCTTAAAAGAATTTATGAGAAAAAAATTAACAAGTAATTATTTTATTGATCTAAAGTACATAATATTAAGTGCCTTTTATAGTTTTGATGTGTTGGTTTGGTATTCTGATGCTACAACTTTTTTATATGAGAGTTTTCGAGACAAAATAAATTTTTCAATAAATGCTGAGATTTTAGTAGAATCTACAATTTCACTTTACCTTCACATCCTCTTCAAAGCTAAAATGTTTCAAGATCAAACTAATAATCAGGACACTCTTTGTCAGCGTCTAACTTTGAGTGCAAGAGAACTACTAATGGACTGGGTTGCTCGTAAAGATGTTATTGGTGGGTCCTTCTTTGGTGCTTCTTTGAAGTATGCTGGAACAATTCACCAGGAATTGAGGAAAGAAAATGATGAGCTTAAAGTAATTTATACTTCATATATGAATTATTTTATTTTCTTTTTAGTTTTGGAAAGAGCTATTATTCATTAAGTTTCCAGCAAATGAAATGAAAAATGACTTTGAGGCGATAGTCCTTGAGCTTGTCAGTGATAGAGTCTCTGAAATACCATCACCTGAGCTGAAGATTAACCTTTTTATTAATGTTGATCACCGAGAAGAAATTGCTGATTCATTCCGAAACATATTCTTGACGAAAGCAATTGAAGCATTGGATAGCATGTTTTCAAAGAGATCAATGGTGAGTTACATGTTGCCAGACTTTTTGCTTTATTGTTTATATACTGTTGCAGACACAGAGTATTCAAAGATGGGCTACCTTGCTTGACTTGAAGTCTGAGCGGGTTTTTAAGCTAATTTCTAAAATTATTGAGAAGAGGTATCCTGATTTTTGCAGGGCACAAGAAATGCCATTTAGTGATTTACTTGATTGGGAAATGTGGCCTGGAATTCTTAAGATTTCTTGTAAGTAATATTAATTTCATTTTAATCATTTTATGTACTCCAGATGCTCAAGTTGGGAAAAATACAAGAGAATTGGGTGAATGGAGACTGATAGTAACTTGTGCAATCAGTAAATTAGAGACAGTCTGTGTTAATATTAATAGTGGTGGGATCACTATTACTGAATTAAACAGTATTAGAGCTAAGCAAATACAAATGAATAAACTTTGTGAAGTTATTGATGAATCACGAATAATTGATCTGCAAAAAAGTATAGAGAAGCGACTGAAGGAATTTGAACATTTTGAAGAATACACAATGAAATTGAAGTACTTTCTTTCACATATTTGCAATATATTAACTGGTAAGAATGAAAATTTTTATCAGTTGTCTGCATCCATTATTATGTATATCTTTTTGTAGGTCAATATAATTTAATGGATGAACTTCAAAAGAACTATAAAGATGAAAAGATCAATAAGTTATGTATTACAGTATCAGATGGTAGCTGTAGGGTTGTTAGTTTTCCTGATGCTAGACCACTTGATCCTTGCCTGGATGGATTCTTCATTATCTCTTCTAAATACTCCAGTGATATCTTTAATAGGCTTTGGCATAAAAGAATAATTGAACAACCAGCAGCAGTTGATTCGTCAAAAATATATTCAATATTTTGGCAACCAGTACTTCAATCTTGTACCTTGTTATTGAAAAGGCTGCAGTCTGGAGACATGACCCTATTAGAAGTTGATGATCAATTTAAGAATGTTTACTTTCATAAGCTTGACAAGTTAGAGAAAGATCTCATTAACCTGCAGCATGCAGTTGATGCCATCAATCATTCTGCCACTGGTGATATCAACTGGATAAAGAATGCTGTAGTGCATATTGGTCAGTATTGGGATTTGTGTGGTTATAAAGTAGCAGCCAAAGCATTTCTTAAAATTCGTGATACACTTGATTTGACTGGAGACTTTGATATAGTAGAAAAAGTAGCATTAAAGGTACATGTGTGTATGTCAATGTCCTAAATTGTTGTTAAGGTATAATTTTACAAATTTTAATCCAGTATGAGTGAGGTTACGTTTTTGTGAAATGAAGGTATTAAAATATTATAGTGCATTGTGAGATGAAAATTTGTGGTTGTTCAATAAATTTGCAAAATTTATTCCTTACAATTATATTGAAAATAATTGTTTAGTCAAAACTAAAACTAGTTCTTAGTTAACATAATACCTTGTATATTTAAATACTTGTTTCAATATTCAGGTTTCATTTACTAATACCACACTGAGCACTATTGATCATAGTGTGGTGGATGCTGGAAGGTTTCTTCAAGAATATGCAACTGATCCTGCTAAAAGAGAATGTCTAGAAGTATTTATTGAGTGTCAAAATATAGTTCAATGGATTAGAAATAAAACTAAAGGTACATTGTATGTTGTTCTTTAAGTTATTTTATTACTACTGGAGTACTGATGTTATACTATTATCCATTTTATTATAGATTTAATAAGCTTGTTTAATTTTGTTTCAAGCTCTGTGGCTGGTAGAGAGGGTAGCATGGCTGCTGATAAACTGCTATTTCTATATACAGTCGGTAGTGGGTTTTGTCCGTTAATATACAAATTATCAAAAGATGCTAGTTGTCAGAAACTACAGGAACTATGCAAGACAGTATGGATGGCATTAGAAACAGCACCTTATTTACCAGACTTGATGGTAATTAATTTTATAACAAATATTTTTTTAATTAAATCAATTTTTTGCAAATCGTGAAGTGACAGAATTATTTGAAAATTTCTAGAATGGTGATAATTTTGTCATCAGAATAATTTTAATCTCAAAAAATTAACAAAGAAATTTTGTAGTTTCTTTTGAAATTTCTGCACATTACATGACCATGTATAAACATTTTCTGTAATGACATGTATTTTATTTTTTGTAGAAATCATGTGAGAGAGACATTGATTGGTACAAATCATTTAAAGAGAAACATAAGACTAAGATTAATTGAGATAATTTTTTATAGGTACTGTTTAGTTAATAATTGTAATAATTTCTTTTTGTAAGGTATTCGTTTTTTTTTTCATTGTAATTTGTGTCTATTTAGAAAATTTTCTAAAAACTTTGATTGATAGCAATGCTTTTTGCCATTTTTTGATTGCTTAATGTTTCATTACAATTGTTTAAAACTATAATTTTTCTAATGTACACACTAAACAGCATTTAAATTCAATAGCCAACAGGTATAATAATATTATTACATGTATGTCTAAATGGTGGACTGTAGTTTAATTTATTGATGTAAATTTATGGTCGGTCATCATACAGTGCAGTATCTGAATTTTTTCTCGACATTAATTTGCTGAAATTGTTGTTGAACAAGATTTAAATAATTCTTATTGGAATTAGTTGATTTATCATAAAATATAATAATGCAGAATTCTCTCCTTTTCATTTTTGATGAATTTGGCAAAAACAAAGCCTTTTTTCTTTGGTTTTGGAGGAAACAAAAATTTATAAAGAAATCCAAATTTGATTGGAATCAGCTCATGGTATAAGGACATGTATGTGTATCAGAAAAAATCTATAATAATTGAGGCTTTTTCCTTTTCTTTTTTGGTGAAATTTTGCCAAAAAGCAAAGGCTATAGCTTTTGATCATTGCCCTGATTTTGGAGCAAAATTTTAAAACTCACAAAAAATCCTCATGGAACCATTAATATTATTGTTGTGTCAAAATGAATAAATGAATACTATAATTAGCAACACTAATTGCACTCACAGTAACTATACATACAATAAATTAATGTTAGCATGAGTACATACACTGTAAATCAGTGAATAAGTACTGCCCAGCCTCAATATTAGCACCAACAAGAACAACTGATTGAGGATTTGCACTTTTATCATCTTGTGACCATTTAATTAATGAATAGTCAGACTGAGAGAGACGAGTGACAAGATCAATAAATGATGGCCTTTGACTTGTCTCAGGATGCCTAATATAATATTAAGTAATTGTTAACATTATTTTAATTAATAGTGATTCTCATACCAGCATTGTATCATAATCTCATATACTTGTCTTGAGCAACCTGGTGGAGGAGGCAAGCGATATCCTGACTCTACTTTTCTAAATGCCTTTATTATAATAGTAGCATAATGATTATCATTGTAATGGCTTTTGAAATTAAATTACTTCTTGATTTGTCATGTTGTGAAATGGTCTGTGTCCAAGACTCCATATTTCATACAGCAACACACCATAGCTCCATACATCACTTGCTGATGAATATTTCTTATAATGAATTGCCTATAAACCAATGATAGCAAATTTCTTTAAAATCTATATTTACTTCAGGAGCAGTCCATTTGATAGGAACTTGGCCTCCTTTTGAAATGTAATAGTTTTCATCTTGTAGATCTCGAGACAGTCCGAAATCAGATATCTTTTGAGAATTATTGATTAGTAACAATTACTGAGAGAATGTATCACTCACCTTACACCTGTCTCCCTCTGCCACTAATATATTCCTGGCCGCCAGGTCTCTGTGTACAAAGGATTTCTTAGATAAGTACTCCATGCCTGAAGCAATTTGACGGCAGAAACTGAGTAAAAGACTAGGTACTGTAGTGGGTACTAATTCTCCTGGTCTGTAAATAACAAAATTATGTATGATGATGTGGCAATAAATAATGCACTGTGTTCCATACTGTGGCTGGAGAGTATGTAAATAGTTTTTCATATCGCCATTATTCATGAACTCCAGTACTATCATCATCTATTCATAAAGTAATTATGAAGCATCCATCAATTATATACATGTATGGTGTTATCACTTACTGGCTCTTCAATAGTGACCATTCCATATAACTTGACAACATTTGGATGATGAAACTGGCCCATGATGGCTGCCTCTTGTAGAAACTTCACTCTATCATCATCTGATGTATTACCGGTAAGAGTTTTAGTAGCAACTTCTAATGGACCAGTTGGTGATTGCCAGACACCTTTGCAGACACTACCAAACTGCCCTGAACCCAAATGATCTCCAATCCTATACACATGCATGTATTCTCTAAAGTTGGTATTAGGTTTATTGTGTTACTTTATTTGATCACGTCTCAATTCTCTGAACTTGTACTTATACAACTGATCATAAATGCTTGAGCAGTCAGCACCAGGAGTCCAGTATATGTCACTTTCAGAAAAAAACACACCATTTGTACTTGCATTGTCCTTGAAATTAATTATAATTATGATTTTTGAATCCAAAAATAAATTTACTTTGTTATAAAGAACATTTTGTAGTTCAAGGGATCCAGTGTGACTAATAAGTTTACACCTTTGTGACTACAACATAAGAAAAAATGTACATGGTTGTAGCTAGAGTAAGGTTGTGGCTTTGTGGTCACACTAATTATCACTTACCATAGTTGGAACAACTATACCCCACTCGCTAGGCAGTGTCTGTGTTGGCTCCATCTATAGTAAATTAGTGTATTATTGACAGTAACTATTATTACATAATGCATACATATTCTCCCATATTTGGTTGGTGATACACTTTAGGAGCAGGCATACCGGCTTCTGCATAAAAGCTACTCTCTCTATCATAATTAGGCAGTGTATAAATATCCTTCTCATTTGGCATTTTTTGATTATCTGTATTGGAACAACAAACAATTAATACCACCACATTAAAGGAATCCTATTGTGCCAAGTACATGTATGATTGCTCACTTTGTCACACATGTCCTTACCTGAATAAAGTGGATTGGCTAGTGTTTGTAGTCTGTCTTGTTTAGCTTGAACAACAGGTAATGCATATACATTGCTTTCTTTCTTGTTCTTTCTTCTCACAAAATATAATGCAATTAGGATGCCAGCAATTATTCCAATAATAATGATAACCAATATCACTGTAGTAATGACTGCTGGTACAGTAGCAGTTGATGCTCTTGGATTGCTTATGTTGCCTGGGGCAGAAGTAGAGCTAGCTGTAGTCATTGTTTGATCTACTGTAAAATATAAGATACAATACAAATTTATACAATACAAATTTATACAATACAATATGTAACTCTTACCACTTGAAGTAGATGACAAGAGCCCAGTGTTTGTTATTGTAAATGCAATTCCTATACAGTAAAGAATTAAAGTTTATACAACTATCAATAAGCTATATACCTTCATTAGTAGTAGTTGTGCCTGTTGTGGTGTATGGCAAAGTTTTACTTGACTCTGTTGCTTGTACTATACAAACAATAACATATTACTTGTAACAGAAAATAATTTACTTGATACTTCAGCAGTAACTAATGGAAAGTCATTGGCTCCTTCTGATCTTGTTGGAGTTATAGTTGATGGAGGGTCTCCAGAGTCAACTCGTAGATTATTAGGACCACTCTCTTCCTGCTCATACAGCTGAAAATCAGTACTCTCAGGAATGTACATACCAAATACATCTCCTTCTTGGAACTCTAACGGAGACTGGGGTGTGAATTCATACACGTTTGTAATATTGAGAACATTATTAATTAATTGAGAAGACTTTGTTTTAATGTAGGTATTAGGGCCTGTTTTACGCCATATTTGGAGCTCTGGCATGTCATCATCATCACTAGATTCCCTAGAGGCTATACCTCCATATATCCACTTAGTAAGTGTCCCATTACAAGAAAATATCATCTCTGGATATAAGTATTGTCTTTTATCAGCAGGCAGTCTTGTCCCATGTATCTGAAGTGCATTACTTCGAATAACTGACTCACTGATGGAATTACTACTCTGAACACAGTGTTCATCTAGAAAAAATTATTATTTAGCTAACTAGAGTATGTGAATATACCTGTTACAGGGTAAACCAATATCAACTGATTGCTTATCTGAGTAGTAGAAGTAAGCTCAATTGTTTGAGAGTTATAAGGAAAAACTTGACTACTAAAAGCCACTCCTGTTTCTCCTGTGATAGAGTATACTCTAACAATACTATCTTCTTCTCCTGGTTGTGATATAGCCAATAGATCTCCAGGAAATACTCTTAGGGAAGGCTCAAGTAGATACTCAAAAACCTCACTAGTACTGACATTAGAAGTAGAGAAGTAAATCTTTCTCTCACTATTAGCTACTGGAGTGTACTGATTACCAGTGTCTCTGTATATCATGACACTAGGAAACTGTACACGATTAGTGTTTCTTCCTTGCCTACGAATTCGTACATTAATTCCCAAAACAAGTTTACTTATTGTAGTGGTACAATTGAACTCATACTCTCGGAGAACCGTTACACTATTATCCAATGGTACTCCAGTTTTTTCTAATGGTAGAATTCGTGATCTCTGGCTTAATAATGAGTACTGCATAAATCTCTCAGTACACTGCTGAGCACCGTATACTATTATTGGAAATGGTAATGTCTCACTTGACTTAAAACATTCTTGTACTTACCAGGTAGCTCAGAAGTAAAGGCAAGGTACAGACTGAGCATGGGAATGAAAAGCTTCATGATTAACTGCTGGAACTAGTTATTGGTTCAAGCTTTGCTGCCAATTATGTATTAGGTGTGAGCAACCTTACAAATAGAATGGATACACAACTGCATGACCAACATGACCAAAAAGTTAATTCTATTAGGAATACACCTACTAGCTACACCTTGCAAATACAAATGTGTCAGTCAAGTTTATCACTACTCATAATGATTTATTTCTAAATTATTAAAGAAAGGGAAAAGGATAGATAAAACAGCACAGTTTTAGAATGTTTAGCTCTGGTCAAGTTTAGCAGGTATAATAATAGCCAGAGTAACTGTCATAGTAAGAGTAGCAGCTTGAAGCTATGGACACATTCACTGAAACAACAGCAATGATCATTATGACCATGACAATCATAAAAGTAATGAGACCAAGAAGATTGAGAATTGCAGCAATGCGACGATTCCTGGCCATTCCAATCATATCACCATGCAGTGCTGCATCTTGCGCCTATGTAGATATTAACATTGATTAGTCTGTATTCACACTCATGATTGTAGACTTACATTAATAGCAAAAATGATGGCAGGAACAGTGCAAAATAGTGCACACCATGTCCCACAAATGAAGCAAAGGAACGTCATCACAATAGACAATATCAAGAAGTGATCATTTGTACCATAAGAATGGTATACAACTGGTGTTGCTGTAGGCTGAGTGGTAACAATAACAGCATGATTCTATGCAGTAAAGAATTTTGATAAGATTTATGGTGAAACCAGTGGCTTACATTAGGGGCTCCATATGGTATGGCTTGATAGCTGTAGGCAGGGGGGCCTTTTCCTGCTGGATCATACTGTGGATTGTAAGGCTATCATAGAGAAAAAAATAATATTAACACTATTTGATAAAAGCTTACAGGAGGGGAGGAATTGTATAATAGTGACTGGTTTTGACCTGTTTAATAAAAGTAAAAGCAAAAATAAAGACAACTGCTAAGTGAGTTAACACTTACTCATGATGAAACTGAAGCAAAGTATGTGTAAGCAACTATGGCTAGAGAACTAGGGTGGGGCTCTTGTACTTTGCTAGCTCAGTACAATAAGTAATTATAATCATTTCACTGCCTCGTGAATCTACTACAAAACTGATAAATAATTAATTTTTACTTCAACTAATGTAAAAAAGTAAAAGCTAAAATTAATACATTCACACACGAGTCTAAATTAAAATCAATTATTGCAATTAAATAATGTTAATCGTCCCAATCAGAATCAGAATCAGAATCATCTGATCCTGACTCTGAGTCACTCAATTCAAACGCTATACGACGAGCCAAAATTGAAGCAACATCATTTCCGTGAGACTGCTGCTTCTTCTCAACTTGAGTTTGCTCCTCTACCTTACGCAACTGCTTGCCTATAGACACAAATAATAAAAAAATACATGTACATGCACATATAATTATGACAAAAACTTAATGCTAGAAATTGATTTGACATTAAAATCCATATGAATGAATTTTTGCTTAGTTGACTTGATTTTATAGTAATTATGTAATATGTTTTTTACAAGTGTGACATACCAAGTCTAATAGCAGCAAGCAAGTCATTACGAGGATCATCAGGTGGTTTAGCCACTGGAGCTGCTGCTGCAGCTGGAGCTGTCACTTCAATGGGGACAGCAGTAGGTGGGGGAGGGGGAGGAGCCGGTATATTTGCCATTGGAGGGGGCGGAGGAGGGGGAGGAGCTGGAGCCTGTAATTAATGAGACACAAATAAAATAAAATAATTGATATCATGATTACTATAGTGGGCATTGGAGGGGGAGGAGCTGGTACCGGAACAGGAACATTAGATCCATAATTTGCCATCTGCAA